GAGCCAGAGGTGGCTCAAAATCGGCAAAGGACAAGGAGTCGTTTGTGCGGTTTTTAAGAGCTTGTTTGTCAAGCCCGCAAAAGGAAATTAAAAGTTTCTCGGCCCCTGGAAGTGTTGCGGGTGTGAAGTACGGGGCTCTGAAATCAGAGAATGAGGTACTTAAGGCCTCGGTGGCATTTGAAAAGGAGACCCGAAGCAAAGCGGAGTGTTGGCTCAGTGAGCTTTGAAGTGTAAATAAGCTGTTAGAGAGACGATGGGAGGAGCGTGTCAGAGAATTAGAGAAACAATGGGAGGTCTGCGATAATAAACCGCTTTTGAGTAAAAATGGACCGCTTTTGAGTAAAAATGGACTGCTTTTGAGTAAAAATGGACCGCTTTTGAGTAAAAATGGACTGCTTTTGGGTAAAAACGAACCGCTTTTGAGCAAAATTGAAAATAGTATTTCTTTTCTTCAGTTCCATGACTTTCTTTCTGCATCTCTATTTTAGTTCCCTATTACTATTCATTAACTTTTTCTTTATTTCCTTTTACCCCTGCTGCTTTTTTATACTTCTGATTTCTCTCTTTATTTTGCTCTCATTTCTTTTAATGATTTCTTGCCTTCCTTTTAGCGCTGCCACTTTTTAAATTTTTCTTTCTACATCAGCTTTTAGTTCGGTACCCCCATTTTTCAATCTCCCCCTTTATTTCCCCAATCTCTGTAGCTTTTAAAATATTCTCTCTCCACCCCTGTTTTAGTTTGCCATTGCTATATTGAAATTTTTCTCCTTATTTACTTAATCCCTTTCACTTTTAATATTTGCTGCCTACTTTTATCCAGTTCACTCTCTTTACTTTTAATTATGTCTTGTCTTAGTGACATCATTTTTGGGTTTTTTTTGCTCTATGGGCTAAACAGAATTAATTCTCTATTCCGTGATTTTACTTTTTAAATCTTTTCTGTTTAGACTGTGTTTTCTGAAACTCAGGGCATTTTTATCCAGGCAGAGCTTACTTTTAGGATGGATAGGCTTGATGTTTATAGTTACTGTTAGAAATGGTATGTAAATATGGCTCTTGCTTATGCTTTCTCATATGGAGACCAAGGTCACCGCCACATCCCAGGTGCTGTATTGAGGTTTTGCACATGGAGAGAGGAGCGGACAGGGCAGACAACCCAAACCTGACCAACAGGGTATTTCATCCCATATGTGTCATATGCAGTATAAAGCTGAGGGATCATGAGGGTCAAGGTCTCTTCTGTCACAGCCAATATCTGAGCAGGAATCTTTCAGTTTGTCTGCTTTTGATCCTGCTCCGTGCATTCCCAGGTCCAGCTCCCAGCTGCTGCTGAGCAGCACGAGTAGGGAAGGGATTGTCCCCCTGTGCTGGGCACTGGTGAGGCCACATTTCAAATCCTGGGCTCAGTTTTGGGCCCCAAAAAGGACATTGAGGGGCTGGAGTGTGGCCAGAGAAGAGCAACGGAGCTGGGGAGGAGTCTGGAGCAACCGAATGATGGGGAGCAGCTGAGGGAGCTGGGGAGGGTTAATTTCACACACACAGAATCACACAGAACCGCTCGGTTGGAAAAGACCTCGGAGATCATCACGTCCAACCGCTCCTGTCTACCCCCTAAACCATATCCCTAAGTACCTTGTCTACCCGCTCTTTAAATACATCCAGGGATGGTGACTCCACCACCTCCCTGGGCAGCCTGTTCCAGCTTCTGACGACCCTCTCAGTAAAGAACTTCCTCCTTCTCTCTAACCTGAACCTCCCTTGGCACAGCTTGGTGCCATTTCCCCTTTTTCTATCCCCCATAACCTGGGAGAAAAGACCAGCACCCACCTCTGGATGTATTTAAGGAGCGGGCAGATGAGGTACTTAAGGATATGGTTTAGTGGGTAGACAGAAACAGTTGGACATGATGATCTCAGTGGTCTTTTCCAACTGAGCGATTCTGTGATCTGTGCAGCTGGAAAGCAAAAAAATTATCCCATTTCCATGCAGGAAACCAGAAGCAAAAGTCATAATTTTTTATGTTGTGGAAAAGTGCCGAAAAACAACCAAAGTCAGTATTTTGGAATAGAAAAGAACCTCCTTTTTATATTATAGATAAGCAAATCCTGCTCTGAAATTTTGGGGAAAATTTGGGGTGAAAAGCTGGCAGTTTGAGAAGCATCGCTGGGAGGAGGGGGAAGTCCGTTATCCCGAGCGGATTTAAGCCCAGTTCCCCCAGTAAGTAGCACCCCTCTGTGGATGGGATAAACTGGTCCTGGTGATGGGTGAGTGCTCATCCTAAAAACGCTCGCAGAATTTAACTTTAGGACGTGCTGCCCTCCGGTGGCGGAGATGCGGTACTGCAGCTCTGACGCCGCGCATGCGCAGTTGCGCTCCCGGTGTTCGAGTACCGGCGGTGCACTCGTTGCTGCCTCCCGGTAAAGAAACCGGGTTGGTTTGGTGGTTGGACTCGATAATTTAAAGGTCTTTTCCAAGCAAAACCAAAACCGTTCTATGAAACACCACTGCAGCCCTCTGTGTGTGGGGTCAGTCCCGTGTTCTTGTGCCAGTCCCATAGGTGTTGCGTTGCTGTGAGAGGGTGTTTTGGCAGCGCCTCTACCAATGATGTATCTAAGAGGGGTGCAGCTCATGGCCCCGCTCCCAGTGCCTGTGGCCTCGACCCCAGTCCGGCTGCTCCAGACCCAACTCCAGCCCAAGAGCCAGGAACTCTTCAAGAACCAGCAGAAGAAACCTGGAGCAGAGAAAGGAGTGGGATGTGAGAAGGCGGCCAGAAGAAGCAGGGAAGTGAGCGTGCCCAAAGAGTTGTGGTAAATGAAGTTGAATCCAGTTGGCAGACCGGAGTCTCCCAGAGCTCAGTACTGGGCCACTTCTGTTTAATATCTTTATCAGTGAAATGGATGAGGGGATTGACTGCAATCTCAGTAAGTTTGCAGATGACACTAAGTTGGGTGGGAGTATTGATCTGCCTGAGGGTAGACACTATCTGCAGAGGGACCTGGCTAGGCTGGATCAATGGGCTTTGTGCTGGAAAACATTGGAAGAGCCCATGGAGAAGAAAGGAAAAGGAGGCGTCTGAGGCTGCGATGCAGAAGAACTTTATTGAGGCAAAAGAGTCAAAAGGCAGGAGTGTCAAGGGGAAAGGAGTTGATATGAGGTGCAAGTAGGGTGACATTCAGATGAGGTCCCTTGTGTGAGATAGATCTCGTATGAGCAGTGAGGACTTCGTGCCCCACAGTGGGAGCGGCACAGTGGAGGTCCCCGATGGTCTTTGTCTTGGGAGAAAGTGGTTGCATAGGAGAGTAGCAGAAGGGATGTTGCCAAGAAGGAAGTGGAAGAAGAGGAGGATGTCGATGTTTGCAGGCAGGACAGGCTGGCCCCCTTCACTGTTTGGTTTTCCCCTTGAGAGGAGGAGCCCTGGATTGCGAGCTTACATGTCAGCAATGGCCTAGAGGTACATCTCAATCCATGGCTTCCAAGGTGTGGATGGCTGGAGTCAGGGGTGGTGGCAAGGGCTCTTAGCAGGTGTAGCAGCCCCTTCTGCCACCAAAGCAACCCAGGCCTCCCAAGCCGTAGCCATAGCCAGAGCCGTAGCCAGAGCCAGAGGCAAAGAGCCAGAGCCATAGCCAGAGCCATAGCCATAGCCAAAGCCACCGAAGGAGATGGGCACTCCCTGGGCACTGAGGTTGTCACTGACGGCAGCGGATGCAGAGGATCCGACAGCGGTGCTCTGGGGGAAGGAGCTGAGGATGGGTCCTGGCAGAGTGACCAGCACAGCAGGAGGCTGGATGACAACGCGGGAGTCCTCACACTGCCTGACACAGGGCTCGTTGCAGCTGTTAGCCAGCGGGGTGGGTCCGCAGGGGCGGCAGATGTTGTAGCAGGCCATGTGTGTGGTGTGGAGGGCCCTGGAAGAGAGGGTGTTGCAGAGGAAGGTGTGAGCAGGGAGCATGGTAGTGGGGAGGTGTCAGGGCTGGTGAGGCTGGGGACAGAGCATGCTGGAAGAGAGGGACCAGGCGGGGCAGGAGAAGGAGGGGAAGGGGTTTCAGGCTCACCTTGTTGATGGCAGAGCTGAAGGCGTCAGGAGAAGTGTGTGAGGGAGACAGGCACTGGTCTGGCTTTTTATGCAGGTCCTCGAAGGGCGGGTCAGCCTTTTTGCTTGACTGCATTTTTCAGCAAGCAGCTGTTGCATGTCAGAGGCTGGCGAGTAATGAGGAGAGATGTATTACCCTTCCCACAATTCTGCAATTTCTTGTCCTCCTCTTGAGGACGTGTCCACTTGTCCCTGGCGGCAGCTTTTGAGTGAGAGTATTAGAGGGCAAAGTTGTTAATGTCATGTATAAGGACATTGGGCAGACATGACCACAGCGTAGGAGACGTGGGGTGGTGTCAGTGAGGTCATTGTGTGGCACCCATGTGGTGTGGTTTTTGGGTGCATTTGAAGAGGGACCACATGTCTTTCCTGCCTTTCAAGTCTTTTCTTGACTTTGCACATTTCCCAGGCATGAGGCTTCACCTCTTCCATTGCTTTCTGTCCCTGTCCGCCTTGTTACTACTTCACTATGTCTTTCATTGGCTCCGGCATCCAGTGCTTGATGTGGATCACCTTGCAAGGGCATGTTTGAGTGTCAGGTAAAGAATGTGTTGAGCCAGGGCCTTAAGGATGTTCAGTTCAGGAGCAAGGCCACAGAGTTTGGTGCATAGAAAGAGGATTTGGATTGCAGATAGCATTGGAGGTGAGCATGCTGCATCGGATGCGGAGCACCAGAAGGTGAATGGAAGTGGTCAACGTGCATTTGGGAAAGGGAAATCATGCTTGACATATCTCACTGTCTTCTTCTTTGAAGCAAGTGGGCATTGGATGAGGGGAACGAAGTGGATGTTGTTGAGCTGTACTTCAATGAAGCCCCTGTCAGTGTCACCCATTACATGCTCCTAGACCAGCTGAGAAAGCGTGGCTTGAAGAAGTGGCCAGTGAGGTGGATGGCAAAGGGGTTGAGTGGTGGAGTCCCCATTCCTGGGCAATTTCATGTCCTCCTCTAAAGGACGTGTCCAGTTGGCCCTGGCAGCAGCTTTTAATTGAGAGTATTAGAGGACAAAAGCTGGTGTTGTGACAGGGGAAGATGTGACCAAAATGTATGTGAGATCGGGTGTCACCAGTGAGGTCATGGCATGGTACTTGTGTGGTGTGGTTTTTGGATACGTTGTGAAGAGGGGCCACATTTCTTTGCTGCCTTTCAAGCCTTTTCATGGTTTTGCACGTTTGCCAGGCATGAGGCGCTGCCCCTTCCATCACTGTCATCAGAGGCATGGGTAAAAGTGTATTATCATGTCCAAGCTTGTTTTTGGTCCAGAGAAGGGGTCATTTCAAAGGGCTGTAAACCCTCCCCCACAGGCTGCCCTGTGGTTGTGCTGGTGGTTTTTTTGCGGGGGACACAGTCCCTAATTGACCCTCTGTGGCCCTTTTTAACTCAGTCCAATAGCCAGTTGTGCCCTGGCTTTGTGCTGGAGGAGGCTGGAAGAACCTGGTGAGAAGAGAAGAAGAGGAGGAGTCTGAAGCTGGGATGCAGAAGAAATTTATTGATGAAGAAAGGGCAAAAGTGTCAAGTGGAAAGGACCCGGTGTGAGGTCCAAGTAGGGCACAGTTCAGCCAAGGGCCCTTGAGTGATGATATCCTGTGAGAGCAACGAAGTCTTTGTGACCCGTGCTTGTAGCAGCACACTGGAGGTACCCAGTGGTCTTTGCCTTGTGGGAAATTTGTATCAGTGGAGAGTAGTAGCCATAGCAGAAGTGATGATACCAAGAAGGAAGAGAGAGAAGAGGAGGATGTCCATGTCTGCAGGCAGTCTAGGTTGGCCCACATACTAGCAATGGCCTAGAGGTGCGTCTCCTCAATCCATAGCATGGCTTTCAGAGTGTGGACAGCTGGTGTCAGGGGTGGAGGCAATGGCTCTTAGCAGGTGTAGCAGCCCCTTCTGCCCCCGCCGTAGCTGTAGCCGTAGCCAGAGCCATAGCCAAAGCCAAAGCCACCGGAGGAGATGGGCACTCCCTGGGAGCTGAGGTTGTCACCAACAGCAGCGGATGCGGAGGATCCGACAGTGGTGTTCTGGGGGAAGGAGCTGAGGATGGGTCCTGGCAGGGTGACCAGCACAGCAGGAGGCTGGATGACGACGCGGGAGTCCTCACACTGCCTGACACAGGGCTCGTTGCAGCTGTTAGCCAGCGGGGTGGGTCCGCAGGTGTTGCAGAGGTTGTTGCAGGCCATGTGTGTGGTGTGGAGGTGCCCTGGAAGAGAGGGTGTTGAGAAAATGGATGGGCATGGTAGTGGGGAGGGTCGGTGTTGCAGAGGGAGTGAGAGGGGAATGTGGCAGTGAGGAGGTGTCAGGGCTGGTGAGGCTGGGGACAGAGCATGCTGGAAGAGAGGGGTCAGGAGGGACAGAAATACGGGAAGGGGTTTCAGGTTCACCTTGTCGATGGCAGAGGAGAAGACGTCAGGAGAAGTGTGTGAAGGAGACAGACGCTGGTCTGGGTTTTTATGCTGATCCCTGAGGGGCGGGACAGACTTTGTGCATGACGGCATTTTTGCAGGGAGCAGCACTTCCATGCCAGAGCCAGGCCAGTAATGAAGAGGGGTGTGTTTTCCTTCCCACAATACTGCAATTTCCTGTCCTTTTCTTGAGGAAGTGTCTACTTGACCGTGGTGGCAGCTTTTGAGTGAGACAATTAGAGGGCAAAGTCCTGGTTTTGATGGTGTGTGAGAGGCCGGGCAGAAGGAGTGACCAAATCGAAGGAGAGGTGTGGTGTCGTCAGTGAGGTCATGGCATGGCACTCATGTGGTGTGGTTTTTGGGTGCATTTTGAAGAGGGGCCACAAATTTTTTTGCTGCCTTTCAAGTTTTTTCTTGTCTTTGCACATTTGCCAGGCATGAGGTGTTGCCCCTCGCATTGCGTTCTTCTCCTGTCCTCCTTACTACCAGATCATTAACCCTGTTGTTAGGCCTGGCCTTTAGTATCGGATGTGTCCTCTGGCTGTCTTGGTGTCCCTCCTACTGTGAGGTTTGTCAGGTGAGCAGTGCTTGTGACCGAGGAAGATGAAACAATGTATATGTTGGGTTTTAGCTTTGATAGAGTTAATTTTCCTTTAGGGTAGCCTGAGCTAGTGTTGAGTTTTTTCATAGCAACTAGGATGAGAATATATCTGAAATCTGTGCTGAGAATAATGTGATAACCCACCAATGTTTCAGTTGTTGCCAAGCAAGGTTTTCAATACTCCCAGGACTTTCTCTGCTTTCTGATGCTGTCTCTGTGTTTCCTTCTTGTTTTGGACAAGAAGCTGTGAGGAAACCCAGCCAGGACAGCTGACCCAAAGTGACCAAGGAGATCTTCCTTACCAACATCTGGGCCCCTCAGATCAAGAAGGACAAGGAAATGTTTGAAAAAGTGGCATCTCTGCCCAGGGTCTGGATGGGTGTCACTCAGCTGATGGTGAGTGATTGCATCACTTGTCTCCCTTGGTCTTATTCTCTCTTCATGTTTTCTTGTGTTCATTTTCATTGCCAGTTACTACCACAACTATTATTACTACTACTATTATTATTATTAGTTTTTATTATTATTATTAAATTTTATTCTAATCATTAAACTGTTCTTATCTCAAATCATGAGTTTTATCTTTTTCCTCTGATTCTTCCCTTCATCCCTCTGGGCAGGAGGAGTGATGGAGCAGCTACAGGTTCCTTAGTTGCTTCCTGGTTTAAACCAGAGGAGTAGAGAGGTGTGTTTTGCGACTGGATGTAAGTAAGTCCATGGGAACTGACACGTTGCACCCAGGAATGCTGAGGAAGCTGGATATGTTCTTGTGGTCACCTCCTAATTATTTTTTAAAGGCCATTAGTGGTGCCTGGAGCAATTCCTGATGTCTGGAAGAGAGCTCATAGCCCTCGTTTCTTGAAGAAGAGGCAGAATCTGGGAAGGTGGAGGCTGGTGAGGCTGCCCCTGTCCCCGCGGGTGATGGAGGAAGCCATGCTGGAAAGCAGGCCAAATGAAGGAAGGAAAGTGGATGGGGGAGTGCTTAGCGTGGATTTACAGTGGGAAATCAGACTTGATCAGCTGTCTTGATTTAAACCCAGCTGGCATCTACACACCTGGATGGGGGAGTGCTTAGCGTGGATTTACAGTGGGAAATCAGACTTGATCAGCTGTCTTGATTTAAACCCAGCTGGCATCTACACACC